ATGATTAGAAGGCTAGCCAGAGTGAAGCTCTGAGTGCTCAGCGATCCTCCACATCCTCTGAGCATTGGAAGTCCGCCAGCAGTGGAAGAGACTATGCCTGGGAAGTCTACAATAAGCGGAAGCTCTACAGCAATGATTAAGCTTACACCTGAGCGGCAGCTCATTCATGCAGGCCCCTAGTTGTGTGGCAACAAAGGCTGCAGGTGTTACAAAGGCTTTGACTAAGGGTGGTTGCCTTCGGAATCGGAAGCACTCGCTGACGCTTAGAGAGAAGCGGGGTAGCGATGGTATTGCTTCCCTTCCACTAGGAGGCAGCACCGGAACTTAGTAAGGAAGTAGGAGCAGAGAATAGAATCCTTTGGAGTATAAGTACTCAGGATCATTCCCGCCCAACTGACCTGATCCTCATCTTCGAGTAGACCATTTATTGGTAACAGAGCCCTTAAAGATTATTGAGTTCTAGCGATAGTATCTTTGAATAAATCTGCACCTGATTTCTATCTTGCACGGCCGCATCTATTCTATTGGATTCTAGCGATACATAGATAGGCTGCCCCCGTTACACTATACTCCCCCTCCCCTACCAGCGCTGAGGATAAAATATCCACCTGCATCTACGTCGCCAACCACCTCCTCGAGCGCAACTCAGCAACAGCATCTCCCTCTCATAGAGGAGACCTCATTTCAATCAACTTGTTCCTCCCAACCTCCCAAAACTCCCACTCCACCCTCACGATAACCAACATCTACAACAGACAGTTGTCCAACTCCTCGAGATCGATCAACCCATCCGAAATCTTCACCCACACCCCAACCCCCTCATTGTAGTAGGAGATTTCCACATCCACTCCCCTGCAGCAGACCCCATGAGGAACTTCTCCGACGGAGAACTTCGCCTCTCAGGGCCATACACCCACTCCGCCACAACCAACAACTTCTCACTCCTGAACTACCCAGGCACCTATACCCGTCACTCCCCAGACCCCCGAAAAAGGCATGGAGTAATTGACCTCGCCTTTGCAAACGCAAGAGCCCTCTCCCTATTCAGCAAATGGCAACCACTCCCCGAAGCCACCGGTTCCGACCACAGGGCTATCGCCATCACCTTCGCCCTCCCTAACACCGACTTCACCCCCATCATTGGCCCCAACTGGAAACTTACAGACTGGTCAAGCCTCCAACCCACGCTCCAAAACCTCACAGTCCCCGACCCCGACCCCTCGGCAAACCTCGATACTTGGTTTGAACAATCACTGCAAAAACTCACAGATACACTGAAGAGCCACACCCCCTCCAGAACAGTCACCAAATGGTCGAAACCGTGGTGGAACCCCAACATAACCCAACTCCGCACAATCTACCACTCCGTCCACCGCGACTTCAGGAGAGGCCTCAGCCCCCCCTTCGAAGTCAAAGCGGCAAAAAATGCCTACTTCAGCGCGATCAAAAACGCGAAACGCACTCACTGGAACGCCTTCGTGTCTAACGCAGCCACCAGCGACGTCTGGAAACTCAAGAAGATGGCAACAAGATCGGATGACAGAGTCCCATCCCTCCCGAACTCCCCCACCCCCGCATTACTGAACCAGAATCTTGTCAAAGCATTTTTTCCGCCTAGACCTGACACCGGCTCCCCCCCCCCCTCTTAACTTCGCCCACGTCCCAGACATCACCCCCGAGGAAGTAAGGACCACCCTCCTCCCCACCTCAAACCTTTCAGCCCCTGGCCCAGACACCATCCCTTACTCAGTATGGAAGGGGGTCCATAAGGCCAACCCAAAAATCATCCCCGCGCTCCTCAACCCACTACTAAAAAGCGGCTACCACCCCCTCTCCCTCAAAAGAGCAAATGGAGTTATTCTGGCAAAACCGAACAAAGCCGACTACTCCCTCCCCACCTCCTACAGAATAATCGTCCTCCTCCAAACCTTCTCCAAAATACTCGAGAAGATCGTCACCCTTCGCCTCGCATCTATCGCCAAGGCGGTAGGTCTCATCCACCCCCACCAATGCGGATCAGTAGCCGGCCTCTCCACAGCCGATGCAGTCACCACGCTCCTCCACGAGACCAAAGCCATGCAACATGCCAAACTAAAAGTCTCCACCCTCTTCCTCGATATCAAGGGAGGCTTCGATAATGTCGTCAAACACACCCTTGCCTCCATCCTCGCGGCCAAAGCCACCCCCCCCTACATCATCAACTGGGTCCTCTCGTTTCTCTCAGACAGGCACATCACCCTCCTCTATAAAGGCTCTCCAAGAATCCCAACCCCTGTCCAAGTCGGAGTTCCCCAAGGCTCCCCCATATCGCCTCTACTCTTCGTCATATATATGAACATCCTCCACCTCCACGATCCCTCCCCGGGGCTCACCCTCTCCTACGTTGATGATTTCGCAATAACTGTGGGTTCCCCCAGTTACCAACAGAACATCCACATCCTCGAAGAACACTTCAAGGTGATCACGACTATCACGGCCGCCCAGAACACCACCTTCTCAATCCCCAAGACCGAACTCATGCACTGGCGCACCCCCAAAGACAAGGCGCCGATCTGCACACTCCCCATCACTCTCGATAATCAGGCCTTCCACCCAGGACATCAAGTCAGATGGGTTGGCTTCTGGCTATCCCCAAACTTCAACCCAAACACCCACTTCATCCGCCGGCTAGCCTCCGCCCAGGCCAGCTTCGGAATCCTTCAAAGATTCTCCTCCCCCGGCAAAGGCCTCTCCTCATCCAACTGCAGGAAAATTGCCCTTCTAGCCGTACGCCCAATGCTCACATACGGGGCATCCGTCCTAACCCCCACCAGCTCCCTCAAGGCCATGAATAAATTCTGGAACTCAGTCCTCAGATGGGCCACCGGCTGCTTCAGGGCAACCAACCAACGCGTCCTCTGGGCCGAGGCACACTGCCCCCCACTCATCAACTACATCCACTACCTGAAAACAAAGTTCGCCATCCGCGTCCTACTTGCCCACCCTCTCAACAACCCAGTGACAGGATGCTGCCACCCCTCCTTCCCCACCCTGACCCCCGACAGGGTCCCCTCTCACACGCACCTCCTTCGCGGCCGCCCCAACCCACCCAAAAAGTGGAACTCAACGGCAACGAAGGGTGTGGCCTACCTCCCCATCGAACATCTCTGCTCCCTCCTCCGCTACCCAATCGCAGGCGGAACCGACCACAAACTCCTCCCAAAACAAGCCAAAGATCAGATGCTGAATAACTGGGCACAAGATTTTCCGACACCCCCCTACTACTCCTTCCCCCTCACCAGAAGCCCCGAGTTCTTCATGGACTTACATAAATTCACGGCTACCCGAATCCATCAAATGAGAGCCCAAAAAAGCTACCTCAGAGGCCACAAATCCTGGCTCAACCTCCACCTCTCCGATAAGTGTGACAGATGCGGTGAAGGCCCTGAAACCACCGAGCATGCCATCCTCCTCTGCCGAGCAAAGGCAACCCAACGCGCCCAACTTCTCCCAGGAATCAAAACCCTTGAAGAGATCTGGAACGACCGCACCAACTCGCTAGCTCTAGGAGCTTTCATCACCACCACCAAAACGAACTTCCCCAGAAAGGAACATATCTCCCCCCTCATGTCCAGATCTGAGATGTCAAGCACGCTCAGCTCCCCCCCCTCCACCACCTAGCCACCGCAAAACCCAACCCAAATCAGGGTACCCCGCACCCACTAAAGACCCCCAAGGGGCAACAGGTTATTTGAAACCAGCAGGAGGATTTCTTATGTCGGACACGGGCCGCCAAAGCGGTTTTTTCCTTGCAGTCAACCAGTCAAAGTGTTAATGTTTTGCTTCTTTTCATAGTTTTCCTTTGTTCATCTGGGGTTGTGGAATTTAGTTTCTAAGTCGGGGAGAGGTATCTTTTATGCCATAGTCTAAGACTGCATGCAGAGTTTTGTACCTAGAATCAATTAAAACTACATGAATTAAAAAAAAAAAAAAAAAAGATTAAAAAAAACGGAATTTCTCATAGAACAATTTATTGAGTTTCTGACTGCTTGAGGGAAGAGTAGCAGTTCGGGCAGGTTGAGTTGTGGTTCGAAAAGGTTGTGGTTCGAAAAGGTTGTGTAATTCGAAAAGGTTGTGAACAGTAGTTAATAGGTAGTACGACGTCACTCCTCACCCCAAGCGTCGCCCCAAGCGAAATAAAAGACTCCGTGCAAAACCTGGTGATTGCCTGCCTACCTACCTACCTTTTGCTCGATTCAGTCATCGATTTGGGTGTCAATTAGGGCGTTGCTTTGGGCGTCGACTTGGGCGTAGATTTAGAAGTCTATAGTGGTGTCAGTAGGTATCAGAATATGGAGGTAGGTAGGTAGGCGGTAGGGAGGTATGAGATAGGTAGGAGGTAGGAGGTAGGTACGAAGGTCGGGATCCCCAAGATGCGTCAGATCTAACGTCATTTGACACTACGTACCTTACCTAACCGGGACTAGCTACCCGATATATCATACTCTACTCTATTTGTTATTTGAGACGACTAGACTAGTAGACTCGCACCCTATTTACAACATCTCCAGACCTCAATTCAATTGAAAATGCCTGGACTGCCCTCAAACAAAGGCTTAGAAAACGGTTCAGAGAGAGAAATACTAGGCCCAGAAATGTCCAGGAACTGGTCCAGGCGGCAAAGGAGGAGCGGGGGAGCTGAGGTTACCACAAAGAATGCTTGATAAATGGGTGGATTCAATGCCAGAAAGATTGAGGGCGGTCACAAAAGCCAAAGGAGGTCATATAAAGTGGTAGTATATTTTCTGTTAGCTAGTCTATTTGTATATACAGTTATTTCTTCTTCTTCCTTCCCCTGTACTGGGTGGCGGTGTTGTTGCTGCTCAGCGCCGTGATATATAGTGACGAAGAGTTTCCGACTCCAGTGCGCACCCTCCCACATACATATAGTTCAAATTCCACGTGATCTCATGTTACATAATACTAGCGCTAAGCCCTTTTTGCAACTTTTCCGTCACTCGTCAGACCCAGTCGTCCCTCGTCCAGGGCCCCGCGTTGGTGTAGAGGTCTCGTAGCCTGATCTCGGCCTGCCGCGACTCGGACTGTCGTAGCTGTAGCATCTGTAGCAGCTGTTGCCTGTCTAGGGCCGGTCCCTCGTCCAGGGCCCGTTGCAACATCTGCTCGATCTGCTGGGTCCGTTGCGCGCCCCGGGCCCGTTGCTCGTCCCGGGCCTGTTGCTCGTCCCGGGCCCGCTGCTTGTCCTGGGCCCGTTGCTCGTCCTGGGCCCGTTGCTCGTCCCGGGTTTCTACTCCGGTGGCCATTCCTGGGAGGGATGGAAGCGTATTTAAATTTTTTTTGGTTCGACGAACGGTGCCTCCATATTTCATCGTTTCGAATAGCGTGCTCAAGATCTACCATTAAACCCAGATCAGTCCAAAAGTAACTTTCAAAAACTGGTTTTTCCTACAATATATATTTGCACATTTTCCGTATCGTAGGTAAAATCTCTACAGACAGAAAAAAAAAATCTGAAAGGATCTCTACGATTTCACGGGGGGTTTTTATAGAAATACAAATATGTACCTCAATATCTAGAGCAGAAATCTTATCAGGTATGACAATATGGTATCTGCTTATATGGTCGCGGAGTGGGGCTTTGGTTGGAAATGGAGCTCCCTCGCGAAAACAACCTTCAACAGGGCATCTGTATGGCCTGATATGCAACCTCTCCTCGTGCAGTCTCCGCTCATTGTACGTCAAAAATCCATCGCTTGAAAAACTTTGACAGAACCGATATCTGCAGAAATAGAGGTTTTTTCCGTAAGCTTTGCGGGCTGCTTCTACCTTGAGAGGATCAGATGGCTGCTCGTTGAGTAACTCTTCAAGGGCATCTTGAAGTCTCCGGGCACCCCTTAAAAATGTCGACGGAGTATTCTCATCGCACCAACGGGACAGTTCTAATATCTGTTAACATCCCTTGTATACATATCAATATCTGACTATACAATAATAATAGCAAGCCAGATAAAAGTGAGCACATACCGTCTCCAGGGCCCAGCTTCAGGTTTTGCTTTTCCATTCTTTCCCGAAACTCTAGAATAGCTATAAGTCCAATTTTCAACGTGGGCTCGAAACGGAAAAATTCCTTGGCTCCAGGAATCCCATCCAAGACAGAGTTCGACGCGGGATTGTGTCCAACACTGGCCTGATATGCGTTCATATAGACAGATTGTTTCCGAAAGAGAATCCTAAGAGACGTCGACAGAATGTCGATCTGTTCTTGGCTGGGATTAAACTTACAAAATTCCCGGATATGTTCGAACCAGTTCGAATGAACGTAATCGAAGAGTCTCAAGTCTCCGTTGAGTAGAAATCCAACAGCCTCATCATTGGAAATACCCGGCTCGAAGCAGCGGAAACATTGATACGTTATGCATACTCGAGAAATGCTCAAGTGAGAGCTTATGCGATCAACGAAAGGTCCACTACGTTGACTCAGAAGATATCTGTAGCTATCTTAGCTCATATTGCCCTTTAATGCTGATGAAAACTGGGACGGACTCCTTCGCCGTAAAATGAACAAAGGTTACAACTCCTTTAGAAAGCTCGATTATCGGCCCACAAAGCCAACGTAGACGGATAATAGGTTGTCTTTTTTCTTCTTTCAAAGTGAGGTCCGGATCCTGAAGTTCCATCGATAAAGCATCCTCAAGCTCTTCGACCTTCAAGGGGCGATATGTGCAGGTCATCCACTCCAGAGTCTTTTCTGCCTTGCTTCTTTTCTTTTCATCCAGATGCTTGATTTTACCTATAATTCTCTCGTAACTATAGTTGATATAGCTTAGTATTGATATCCTAGCTCTGTATCCTTCTAGAGCTTACTTACACCTGGCTCAGCCCTGCCGGGAGATCGTCTAGAGCGTCCCGAATATCTTTTATAGTGACTTGTGAGAGTAAATTCTCGATGACCAGATGAACCCAGAGGAACATTCCTGTATATCCTGTCAGAAAGCTTGATGGGATGTGACCAGGGAATTTCATACGTACCATCTGCACGTCTAGAAAGACTATTTTGGATTTCCTTCTGCACAGATAGTCGCTGTGCTCCTTCGAAGCCAAACTCCTCCACCACCCTCAATGACTCGTGAGCTATATATCGATATATATCATGTTTATTATTGTCTTTTATCGAAATCTCCAAGGGTCTTTGCCTCTCGAACACAGTACGAATGTCGGCCAAGTCCCGGCTTGCTACAAATATTCTAGAAGCTAAGCTCAATGGCTTTTGTTTGAGCCCTTTCAAAATCCGCATTAATCTCTCTCGTTCGGTCTGTGGAAGTTCATCAAGTCCGTCAATAATAACATAGACAAACTCGGAAGGAGAAACTGAAGCCTCGATCAGTTCGTACAAAAGTTTCTGGAGCATTGGTACTGATAGGAGCTTCGTAATCTCTGGGTAAACATATACCAGTAAATCTTGCTTCTGCGAGATTATCTGATAGATTAAGGCGCAAAGGATATTCTGGCATATTTTCGAGTCGACTTGTTCGTAGCTGCAGAAGTAATAAAGGACTAAGCCAGAGAGGCTTGCTGATGCCATCTTCAGCTCTAGGTGCTCTAAGAGTGTGTACGAAAGAATTGTTTTCCCTTGGTTATACATTAGAAGAACTCTTATAGCCATGCCCACTTATAAATCTTACCAGAACCAGGTTTACCTGTCAGCCAAATCGACTGCTTCCCCTTCCCGGTAATCCAGTCCTGAATATCTTTGCTTCTTATGAGCCAGTCACCGGTACCATCTTGCTTCAGGTATCCACATTTCTCCCTATGGTCTACAATATTGACTGGTTTGATCCAATCAAATATCTCTTTCATCTTTCGGTGCATATCATCCAATTGGCGCTCTTCAGCCCGTTTTAGTTCTTCTTCTCGTGCTTTCTGTGATTGTATGATATCTTCGGCACGAGCTTCATTGTCCACCAAAGCTTGGTGCCTTTGCAGGTTTCTGAGAATAAGACCAAATCTGGTCTCAAACGAAGCCCATACCAAAGAAAACATAATCTTCCACGCTATAGATAACTAGGAGGTTATTTTCCAAACAATCATGTCGTAAGCCCCGTAGTCCGACAGATTTGGTCTCACCTCTACGGTTGAAGAATTTCCAGGCGCTTATATAAAACTCCATGATATCTTCATATACAGTGCTTATGATCTCCTGTATCTGATCATTATACGAAAATGCCGTACAGAACCTCTGGAACCGTGGAAGATTCTCCCCTATTCTCCCTATCGCGTCCAGGATTTTCTCAAAGCTCTCGGTGAACTGACTAGCCAGCTATAAAAAAAACATAAGCGGCACCTCTTCCCAAGAGACTTAACTAAACGAGCATACCTGAAGCAACAATTTCAGAGGGCCCTGTACTCTTATCAGTATTCATATAACTACTCATTAGGTGATAATGAGATATGATTAACCAACCCAGATCAGAGCCATGATTTCAGGCTTCACTTGTACAAAGACCTCTATAACTTTTGCATATTGAGTCATTCCATTGATAAACGGCTCGATACGCGCCATGTTTTATAACGACCCACGAGACCCCTGTTGATCTTGCAAGTCGTCTACCAGATCCCAGATATCGTCTATAGAAGTCGGTTGCCCAAAATACTTCTTTTTTTCATCTTCGGTGAAGCTTCCCAGGAACCTATTTGCAGCTCTATCATATGCGAGAGGCACTATGTTTAACGCAGTTGTCATACTGATGAAGTTGATAATCGAATATGGTGCGCGCGGGGTTAGATTTCCATAAGTCAGCCGTATAGATGTATGCATGCATGTACCTACCTATTACGCGCTTCATACGTTAGGGCGTTTATTGGTCGAGGGCAAGGCTGATTATTCTACAGTGCTTGACTTAACTCTAGCCCCATGGATCCACATTAAAAAAAGAAGAACCTCCCTATATTTCTAAACGATCACGGGCGATGTCAGACTCTATAGCACTAGCTAGCTCACAAACTGACAGCTTACTTTCCTCGCATATTTTGGAGCCGACTCCGGGATCCCCCAGCCATTTCTCAACTTTTAGAGAGGCACCTAACATATTTCTACCTGATCCAGGCAGTGATGATGACTTTGAAGAGTCCACAAAAAGACGACGATGTGCAGACGATGGGAGGTATAGCTCATGCCCAAGCCCAAGTGGTTCGCTGTGCTACTCTCCATTGCCGTGTCAGGAGCCAGAACAAGTATAGAACCCCAAGCCTTCAAAGTTCCTATTAGTATCTTAATGCTCACTCAAGCTCCCTCTACAGCCAGGTGGAAGGGGTGGAAGCGCTCAATATTTTCGGGGTCAAGCTGAATTAATAGAAAAGCAAAACATAGACTTTAATACCGTGCCCATGGCCAATCTCAACGTTCTGGATGAAGGCGACGAGGAAGCATGTTTCGGAATGGTATGTTTGAATCTCGAAGCTTCATCGTTCAGATTTTTCCGACCCATAAGGGTTGGGGATTTTCTGCGGGATTCCAGAAAAGAGAGCTCTATTATGTTACATATCATGTATAGCTAAAAGTTTTAGTGAAGATTAAAGGGACAATAGGCTCAACAGATCGCGCCCTGGATTTCATGCAGAAACTTCATGCGGAAAGGTCGGGAGAAGATCAATGCCATCCACTAAACCTGGAATTGGTCATTCGCCAGAAGGAAATACAAGTCGTAATCGATATCCATGCGACGGCACCATTAGTCGGATATCTTCCGCATTCATTATCTGTAGTACTCTTACCACTAATGGTCGATTTCCCTTTAGTCCGTATGCAGACGCTCACGTTTTCGCCTTTCGAAGAGGTTACAGAACGACAAGGTAAAAGATCACGAGGCCAAGCTCGTAATATAAGGATTTTCATCAATATATATGGAAATCCAACTATCAGGAGCAGAATTGGACTTTTTTTATCTAAAAATAGCGTTTTCTTACAGCATCCCAAATTTCCAGAACCAGGGTATCCTTACCGCAACCCCCACGTCCTGTCGAGACCTGGGGCTACAATATATATCACGAAATCTATCCTAACAGGTGGGGTCACACCAGAAGATAACTCGATAATGGACACAAAAGACGAGGTATCCGTTCATCTTGCAAGTTTATCCCACATTTTTGATGATCTCTGTGGGTCAAAGACCCAAGGCGAGCTTCCTGGTGATATGAGATACTTAAAGACTCCCTTACTCAAGTACGTTCAAAGGCCCAAACTGGTACAAAACAAGATGGCAGCCAACAAGGATATTAGACATCAGGAACAAGGTTTATACTTTCTTGCCATGAGAGAACAAGTTAAACAAAACTCGTCCCATCATGGAACCTAGTGAGAATCCTACCACTGGAATTTGATTTTTACTTTCTGACCAATTTTCAAGTTCAGGAGGAATTCTTGCTGATTATATGGGATTGGGGAAGACCTTAACAATATTATCGCTCATAGTCAGCTATCTTGATGAGGCCCGGGTACTGAATACTAGAAATGGTTTACTATCAGTCCATGAAGAAAAGATTCGTTCTGGTGCTACTTTAATAGTTGCGCCTGTCTCGGGTCAGTCCTTTCCAAAGCTAGAGCTATAAACACCCTAGAAAAGTACTAATTCGGAATTCTTTTTTCTTTTATATATATATAGTATTAGGGAACTGGGAAGAACAAATAGCAGTGTGAGATCCCTTGACTAGTCTCTTCCACAGCCGTTTTTAACAGTTTTCATAGCCACATTCAACCCAAAGCCCTAAGATACTTCGTTTATTACGGTAAAAATAAACCGACAGATCCCCAATTACTGAGTCAATATGACATTGTGTTCACCAGCTTCCAAACCCTTACCCAAGAATGGTCGAAGCCTGCACAGAATTCCTCTTCCTGTGGTCCTTTGTATACAATCAACTGGTTTAGGGTAATCTTGGATGAAGGTACGTACAATCACTCCGAATTCAAAAAATAAATGACCTCTTACATGTGTATTTCCAGCGCATGAGATCCGTACACCAAGTACAATTAAATGCCAGGCAGCGTGTGCCATCAGCGCTGATCGAAGATGGTGTATTACTGGAACACCGTTGCAAAATGATATCACCGACATCGCCACGCTATTCAAATTTCTCAGACTCGGGCCTTTAAATACCAAACAGGACTTTGATCGCTATATTACCGCTAAGTTGAAGGCTGGAGATGCTTCGGGGATGAAAACCTTACGTGGTGTATTACGACAGATGTGTCTCCGAAGAGCAAAGGACACCATAAGCGATAGATTACCTGCACGAAACGAAAACATAAAATACCTCAAGTTCAATGACCGCGAAAGAATACTTTACGACAGCCACAAACAAAAACTAAGCACTACTGCCAACGATGCTTGTGATAGTACATTCCAAGTGATCCTTAGACTGAGATTGATTTGTGATCACGGCAAAGACCTTCTACCTCAGGGAGACCTCGAAATTCGTTGTTCAACTTGCCATATGCAGTTGAGGGATTGGGAAATGGATGCTGGGCGGGTTTCTTGCGTTCATAGCGTTATATGTCAAAGATGTATAAATGCCCGAGCTATCCCGGAGGATGTAGATACATTTGGTCCTGGTTGTGAGTTGTGCGCTAGGGCAGCTCGAGAAAATATAGGAACTGCTTTTCCCAATTATCAAGGCCCTTCGACAAAGGTCCAAGCACTTATCGATTCAATAAAAACCTGCACAAATGGGACATGATCAAATGCGAACCGGTTTCAAAACAGTAAGAGCCATCATACTTCCCCGCACGTATATGAAGCCTACTGACATATGTCGTCCCTTTTTAGCGTTGTCTTCTCAAGCTGGACAAGAATGCTGGATTTGGTTGGATTTGCCCTCGCATCCAATAATATCATGTTCTGCCGCCTTGATGGCTCAATGCCACGTTCGAAAAGAAACAACACACTCTCTGAATTTTCTACAAACCCTCAAGTGATAGTAATTCTAGTATCTCTCATGGCTGGAGGTGTAGGGTATGTAATTCAGTCCAGCATAAGATTGTCGGATATGACAGATTCTAAATTCGTGTAGTATAAACCTCACCTGTGCCTCCAGAGTCCATGTTTTAGAACCACATTGGAACCCGATGATCGAGCAGCAGGCGGTAGAACGTGTTCATAGGCTTGGACAACGCCGAGATGTTACGATTACACGGTACATCATGAAAGACTCATTTGAGATCGTAAGACCTCTTTGCATTCCTTTTGTAGCCCGGATGTATATATTACTAACCTCTAATCATCAGGATATGATGCGTTATCAAGACAGGAAGATATTACTTGCCAGACAGTCTCTAGACTCACATATAGACCCTGATGCTATGGAGATTTGTACAGCCGAGGGAGGCTCATGAGAATCGTAAGATTCTCGTATAATCCGAAACTTCTCGGAAGATGTGCTGGAGTTAAGACTATGAGATGGATGGTTAAGGAGAAGAAAAAATTCAAGGGAAATAAAATGACGTATACCAAAAGTGTGCTAATATCCCTTTATATGTGATGCAAATATGTACCCATGTTCCGGCGAGAAAGAGATAATCACTTATCCACTTTTCCAGAGGATGGGGCTATGAGGCGTTGGGGAACATTTAAGATCGAAAACCTTCACTCGAGGGGTATTCCCCAAATCGAAAATGGCTGACTGATTGGGTGTATACGCATAGCGCCAGAGCTTATCAAGACTAGCTACGTAGGTATTTGACTGTTTAGACAGTCACGATGCTTAGTCGAAGTTAGTTCCCAAAGTCATAAAACCTCGCTAGAATCCCATCATATGCAAGCCATGCATTCCACTATATATAACCCAGCGCTAGCTTATTGCCTTAATTTAAAATCAGAACACAGCAATCAGTTATGATTAGGGTATATAGTTTTCTATGCTGGTCGAGAGGTCGAGATTTAACGGAGCTTTAAATCTACTACCATTCCTCTGGGTTGTATAGAAAAGTACGGCGTGGGACTTAAGTAGTTAACTACTCCAATATATATATTATTTCTAAATCGACCACTCCAGCCCAGGACAAGCACGCTCAGAATCTTCATTACTAGAACAAAACACATTTACCACTCGTACCTCTCCATAGTTCAAAATAAATCGACCAATATTATTCGCGATAGTCTCCATCATATATTATCACTCGATATACAACTTCACTTTAGAAAATCCCTCAGAGTACGTACATTCAATCAAAATCACTCCTCTCCCCCAAAAAAAGGTTGAAGGCGCATCCAAGGCATTAACCTCATACTCTAAACTTTTATCTACGGAGAGCCTTGTGAGGAGACGGAGCCTAAAAAGGGCTCATTGCTATGTATATAGCCTAACTATTGGCACAAGATTCTCCAAAAGCTACAGCCTAGTATAAGCTGATGTGTACATATATACTCATATATCCATACCAATACACACCTATACAACGTAACTAGCCAGATTAAAAAGAAGTTCTACACTTCCCACGAGGCCCTTCCCCACTCACGACCACAACGCCCTACTCTCTTCTAAATACACATAACTACACCCAAGACCACCTTCGAAACGAAACAACCGCCCTCGCCCCCCAGCCGGGCCACTCAACCCCACGTGTCGTATTAACCCCCAACCCCCCGGCCGCGGACCCCTCAACCCCGACGGATTCTCCGGAAATTAACATCAGTAAGGCTGCATGCCGGCGCTGCGCCCAAATAACGGGGCTATGCAAAACGATTAACATGTGATCATCCCGTCCCCATTATATAATATAACCGTGGTTTTTAACATAGCGTATGTATCCCCCCCTTCCCATGGAGTAAAGTAACTACCCACTCGCGCGGCCGAGTTTCAATTTAATCACATGACCTATGAGAAGCGTCACGTGAGTAAGTCAAAACTCGGCCTTGCCTAATCCGGGGGGTGGGGATGCATGGAACGAGCCATATCTATAGGTGGGCCTCTATCCCTTCGGTACATCCTGACAATACTCAGACTGAACCACCCGATAACATTGAATTATGGGAAGTTTTCAACGTTTAGCTATCCGGGGTGTCAGTCTGAAAGCTCATTTCATACCTCTTACGGTTTACAAAAGAGAGTTTCATAATTATAATACAAAGGTAGGAAGTCAAAAGCCTTTCCAGTGCATGTTTAAGTTTGCTTCTGTTTAAGTTTGAACCAAAATGGAAGAGGAGTGTGATAAGCCTGAGGATGCTGTTGGTCGCTATGTTACTTGGCTAGAATATGAGCATCGTTGCAAGGGAATAGAGAGAACTATATCGGGGCTTGGAAAGGCATCAAAAGTAAACTGACAGGGAGATGTCATCATGTTAACGAGAGAAAGGGAATTAGCGAGAACATCAATAGCTGGGCCAAGTGGGTAATGATTGGTGTTGGGAAGGTGGGGATCGGGGTTGGTACGGTACGTTTTCTACTGAACCTTCTAGTTTTACTTCTGCTGAAATATCTAGTATAGCTCTTAAGCTTTATTACTTTGACGCCGAAGTCAGTACCAAAACGCAGCTATACGCCAAAGAGGTCGTTCAAAATGCCTCAGCGAATACGAAACTCGAGATTGAGAAGAGTAAGCTTGAGCTACAGCTATAGGCCGAGGACAGAATGTGCAAAGCCGTCAGGGAGGAAATGTGGAATGCTCTGGAGGCTAAAAGGGAGCTAAAAAGGGAGAGTGAAGTTCGATAGGTTTATTCCTTACTAGTAGGAATGCTTTTCTTTTGTATAGGGATACTGGTTACTAGGTTGCATAAGGTTTTAATCGGAGTTTGTTTAGAAGATGGTTAACTCGACTTTGTTCGGAAGTATTTACATGGCTGACTGGGTAATTGGCGACACTTTGTTTTTTGCTATGCGTCTCAAGAGTTATTTTGTCGTGGGGGTCTGGGGGGGCGCTAGCCCCTCCCAGGTATGATCATGAAGAGGAGCGAAGCGGCCGTAGCATTGTTTGTACTTAGAATTTTTGCATACATAATGCCATAGTTCACCTCACAGTAGTATACAGTTGTTCGCCGATATAACGAATGCCAAAAAAGCCACAAGTTTGCTATAACGAACGGGTTTCGGTGATCCCAATCTAAATTTCACATAGAAACTTGCCTGCTATACCGAATAATCTGTACTGTGTAGGTACATACTTTACCTAGTTTAGCCCTGATACGCGCGCGCAGGGCGGAGTCACGTCCGTGCGGTTAGTAAGCAGCTAATAAACTGGTCAGGCGTGTGTATGTGCTCTCCCGGTACAGATATAGCCCGTTGTTCAGCGTCAACCGCTTTATGTGTTCTACTACTCTAGGTATTGTTTCTTCAGGCTCTCAGGTTCAGGCGTGTCTGGACATTCGATACATTCGATATCGGGGCTTGGCAATATTTGTTCTGAGGGTGAGGCTGCGATGGATTGAGGCTGTGCATATTCAGGTGTGGCGTTATATATACGAAGGGCGTCAATGATTTTCATTGCTTGTGTCTTGGTACACAACGACGCAACGTATGGATGTGGCGAAAGCGATCTAAAAGTCACCTCGAAATTCGGTGGCCAAAGCACCAGGGGGCGGGCAATATTGACTCGAAGGAGCCTTGTAGAGTCAGTTTTCTGCCTTGATATATGTACCAGACAGCACGCATGTTTCAAGGTACCTTTCCGGAGGTGAAAATACGTAGTTACTTCTAGTTGCGTAACCGCTCCAATCATTGCGATCGATATCTACATATCATATTCTAGAAGCACTGGAGCCCAATAACAAGTGTGAGTTTTACCTGTTGCGTGTACTATGTACGTACTATTCTTCGGCGATATGTACCACTTATCCATATATATGTGCTAAATGTCTTAAACCCGATGTCAAAAATATCAAATCAAGATACATACACAAATAATGAACATCATAGGTATTTCAAAAAATCAAACCCAGTACAAAAACCAAAATAAAAAAAATAAAAAAAACATATTTTAGCTAGCTGAAATAAACAAGAAAATACAAAAGGCCCGAGCCTGAAGGCGGGGGAGGGACAGAAATGAAACGGGAAAAACACCAAACGCACCAAAGACGATGCTGCTTCTGGAACCTTAAAAATGGAAAAAAGAAAGAAAAAGAAAAAAATATGCCAAATGAAATCCCCACAAAAAGTACCGCTATCAAAACACAAGCGCTGACCACAGCCCCCATAACTAATCTTAGTTCATGTACGACCGCGCAAAGACCTTCCTATAGTGAAACAATAAAAACAACAGACAGTAATAAAGATGACGATAGAAATAAACCCTAATCGTACGCCCCCAGTCTAATAGGACAACCGCACCCCATTATTTACCGCTTTAGGATATGCCATAGCCTTCAGTAAATCGGGGAAGTAGCCAAACAGAAGAAGGAAAAACCAATAAACCTGAAGTACTCCCAAGGAAAACGAATTTTGTTACAGCCTCGTCTCGTGTTCTTGTTCCATACCCCACATGGAGGTATCTCCGCCGTTTGTGACTCCGGGGGCTGGAACATGTAAGAATGCACTTAGCAGTCCCAAGCTCTCGTCGTTTGGGTCCAGTCCCTCAAACCCTGTACCGCTGGAGATCAGGGGCTCAGTTGGCCAATTGAGGGTTTCCATCCAGTTTGTATCCATGGGCGCAGCCCCCCCATTGCTACTGGTAGGCTCACTGGGAAACCAATTACTCGCTGCATTACTCATTTGAGGTTGTGGACTTGGGTGTGGGCTCGGGTGTGGGCTTGGGTGTGGGCTCGGGTGAGGAGTTGGGTGATGTGACATTCCTGGAACCTCTAGCGTGTGACCTGAGAACTCTGGGAACATCCGTCCATGAGAGGATGACGACGAAGTACGACGAGTGCCATCATGCGGCGATAGCATCCGAGATGAGGATGCCGACGCTTGTAATAACGTAGTCTGAGCAAGTGCGTCAAACTTTGCCTTCGACCTCTGTGCTATAGGCCACGAGGGAGCCAAGCTGTCGAGCAGCATAGAGCAATGCCTAATATCTTCAGATAGAGTTTCGTGTGCTGTCTGCGCCTGAACCTCCCTGCACTGACTGTACACTTTCAACATTGTGAAGCCACTGAGAAAGATTGAGTGCGCCGTCAACCAGGTATACTGCAGCCCTCCATAGATCTTAAGCTTGTGGTATATTCGAATGGTCTCTACGGCTGCAGTGAAACAATGTTGAAGAGCTGATACGGAAGGGAGCGGGAATGCGGGTGACGGCCTAAAAAGCAATTGAATGGCTTCGTGAAACTTGAGATCTACTATTTGGCCACTTCCAAGGTGGTTCCCGCTACTTCCTGATCCTCTTCGAGATGCTCCCAACCCAAGTCGTGCTTGTTCACGAAGGTCCATAAGCTGGCGATGAATAGTATTCTGCCAATCTTGTGTATCGGCGGGCCATTTCCCCATTGAAGGTAGGGTTATGCGATATAGTGTAGATTTGATGCTGCTCAGTATTCTAGTCATCCGGAATAGATAAATTGATCCCAAAAATGAAGAGTGAGGAGTCCCTGCACCTGCGGGAATATTTGAACCAATAGACAATGAAGCAGGATAATGTAAATCCTCATCACTGTCGTTTTCACTTGGAAAGTCCACATCAAACGCTTCGTCCCTCAACGAGAATGGCCTGCCAAGAGAAATGCCAAGATTACGGTCGAGTGTATAAGCACACCAGAACACTCGACGTTTTATCGCAGCATGTTCTTGAAACAAAAAGATCTTTCTTTGCAATCCTAGGTCGACACAAGTTGCCATGATGATTGCGTTCAAGTACCAGAGGTTAAGCCCGCCAGAACTAGCGTGGAAAGATCTCATTGCCAACAGCAGCGCACTTTGTGTTGCCTGGACACTTCCTGTGAGAGTGATGTCATCGATACACTGCATAGCGCTAGCAAAATATCGTTCGGAATCCATAGGATGGCCAGTACGATTTGAAAGAATATTTGCACCAATGGAGAGCACGAGAAAAACATGAAACCGCGCGACAGCGAGAGTGTAGCCTTGTGGAAGCTGATAAGGCGCATTGTTCGCTGCCTGATGCACGGCTTCGAGACAAGACTCGAAGTGTGGACGATATAGGAATGGGTATTGTAGGGCGACAGTGTCGAAGTAGTTACCTGATAAGGTCCCACACTCGTCCAAACTAGGGAGAGGTATTGGCTCTACATTAGTTCCTGGCCAGCGCCTTCCAGAAGTCGCAAAATTGGGCTTTATATCTCTGTTCCCTGTATCAAACTCAGTGAGGCGGAGGTCATCCTGTGCTTCACGAAAGACGAGGCGAGTGAATGAGATTCCGGATGACGGGCCAATGTATTTAGGTTCCTCGATAGCTGATAGTGATATGAGAGCAACATCCTGAGCGGTCGTATCCTGTTGCGGTAGCAACATAGGACTTGGCAGTAGTGGGCTCGAGGGGGCTGGGCTTGGGGCCGGAGATGGGCAGTCGGAGAAGGTGTATGGACTGTATGCAGCCAGGTAGCCCGGTGACATGCCTGAGGGCGAAAACTCAAAGGACGCTGGGGTGGGACAAGTCGAGGCGGGGGAGAGAGCAAACGCTGGAGACGAGGTCGAGCTTATCGACGATGGTGGAGGGTGCATATCAGGCCCAGTAGTAACAATCCGAATTGCTGGAGGTGCCGGACGAGATCTAAGCTCCGCTGGTGGCCCAGCAGAAAGATCCACATCGGGGCAATTGGTGCGTAAAAGTTCTTCTAACCATTTGATCCTGTTTTCCAATTCGAGGACATGACTAGCAAGCACGAGATGAAAAGAGTACAGCATTGAAGTCAGTCAAAAAGCTCGCCACAGTATCTCAGTCAAGGGACTAAGGATAAGTTCAGTGTATAATTTCTTACCTCCTTGGTACGTTGTTATCACCAGATCGGTCGACCTCAATGCAATCAACACCAGCCTTAACGCAGCTTTTGCAGGACGGGAGTGCTCCGTCGCAGCGGATCTTCCTGGTCCGGCATCTCTGGCAAGCAGTGACAACCTTCTTTTTAGCGATGCCACTGGTTGAAGACGGGGTTGCGCCCGTTGGTGTTGATAAAGATGATGTGGAGGCGGAACGAGACCGATTGAACGTCTGATGCGGTTGCCCTAAAGACAAAGAATTGGATGATGGTAATTGATGTTGCTGCTGCTGTTGCGGAGGCCACCCCGCGCTCCCGTTACCTCCAACATTTCCAACACCACCTGCTCCTCCACCTGCTCCACCTCCTCTTCCACCACCTCCGGCTCCTGTTCCCAGAAACCCTCCAGAGTCCATAATGACACCGCTGCTACCAACCTCGTCCTGGTAGTGTATTGAAGGCACTGACAGCGTCCGACGCTCCCTCTTCATCAATGTAGGTTGGAGAATATCTCCTTCCCTTTTTTTCGGGTTGTGAGTGCCCTTCTCCGAAGGGGGGTACAAATTATTTGGCGATATCGTGTACGAAGAAAGAACCCGGACCCAGTTTTATCTCCTTCACCCTGGGACTTTATTTTCCCAATAACAACCTTTCCCCCTTCCTCTCTTCCTTCCTCTTCAAGCTGATCCTTTCCTTTCTTTCTTTCCTTCTTTCGATCTTCGAAACTCCGTTATTCAACTCTGCGTCACTCTTTTTTTTTGCTTGCTCTTTCTATACCTTTTTGTCCCTCAAAGATTTCCCTTCGACTTTCGATTCCCTTTCTCTTTTTTTCCTGTAGAAGTTCCTGAGACCTTTTTGTTATTTCCCTGCAGTAGTAGTATGTACCAGATCAACACCAAAGAGAGCAGCAGCAGCAGAAACGATCGATTCCTGAAACAGCGGAGGGGGACGCGGAATAGGCGGTAGTATCAGTAATTGTGGTGCGGTGGTAGGTCAAGCTCATGGTAGTTGCCGCTAGCAAGTGGCGAGAGACGTGCAGTCCAGGTGGATGAGCGAGTGAGTGGGTGTGGGGGAGGGTGGAGAGAGGGGGGTGGGTTTGAAAAGAAACGACCAACTTCCGCCAGGATCTACCACACACGCAGGTGAAGGAGAAGGTTGTGAGTTATGTATGTGAGTATGTAGGTAGGTGGATGTAAGAGGGATGAAATGTAATAAACGAATGATATGTACGTAGTAAAGTGATAGATACTCCCGGGGATACTAGACTAGGTCAAAGATGGAATGGGATCTTCGCGGACAAGTCTCATCTAACAGCTGCCTGTCTACTTTGAAATTGAAGATTTATTAGGAGTGCTTTATTTTAGGCGCAGTTCATGGGTGGGTGAAGTAGGAAGTTGATCAAAAGCAGAATAGGGATCTTGGAGGGGGGTGTGTGTGGGGGGAGGGGGGAGAATTCAGACGAAGCCAGGAACAACTTTTGAGGTGACGTTTAACTAATGAGAGAGGCGAGACAAGGCGAGTGTTAGGTATGTATGGACGTGGGCGCTCGAATCTTGTCTTGTTAGTTGCACTCGGCGCTTGCCAGGTCAGCACAACATAGGCATCACAACCATATCGTTGTCAGAATAAGCGGTTGAACAACACAGAGAAGCCCGAAGTGAATTAAGTGATGTGATGGGAGAGAGCGGGCGTGCGGGGATGAGGGTGGGAGAGAGAGAGTGTGAGAGGGTACTAAAAGATACGAGAGAAGGAAAGTCTACAGAAGGTCGAGGACAAGTAGTGAGGAGATGTCAGGAGATGGTGGGGAGAAGGGGGAAGCCCAAGGGCGATTGAGTAGCAGGAAAGAGAGAGGGAGATTTCAAGGTCGACGATGAGGCCTCCCCACCTATTTAGCATTGTGGCTTCGCTTTTCCACCATTTTGGCTTTTTTGCGTTGTGCATATGATGTTTGCCCACGTTTTTACCTCTTCTCCATATGGTCGTACATCCTCATCCATCATTATCGTAGGAGTCGGTGGACGCCTTTACCTCACCAACTACATGTAACAATTACATGTAACTCTCTGTAAGATTTCTCCCCCCTCCCTGGCCTGCCTCATATCGTCTCGCTCGATATTCGTTCGCTACAGGGCTGTGCTGCACGCCGGCCTTCTCTCTCAACTCCCTCACTCCACTTCATCCATTCTCCGTCTCTTCCCTGTGTTCCCCTCGGTTGTCGCGTAGAGTGGCCTTGTTTGTGACCACGATGGTGGTTTGGGGTGGGGACAACCAGCAAGTGTAAACGTGAGCACAGGCATCTGGTATCCAATTGCAGGACACGTCTCGAATATACTCTGCATACAGGCAGAAAATATAGAGCAGGCTCTAGGTACTACTCTACATAACTCTATACTTAGAAACACTAGTTGACCGCCGCCGCCGATTATGTTTACTCGACATAGAATTAGGGCATAATAATATTGTTTGAGTATGTGTAGAGTTCTCAAGTTCAATACTATGTCTAAGACTTATCATGAGGAAATACTCCTATTCCTGCGTCTCTTGGCCATTTCCGATATTTACTGATTTTGATTCAGTGTCTACGTAACCGTTACCAGGCTCGAGGTCTCAAGCCTCTGGCATATGGTAGAACTCGTATAATTATCCGGAAATGGAAGCCCATCAATTGCTAGCCCTATCTATGATACCTACTGTTCTCTATATGAGGTTATTGGATTTCTTCCGGTAAGTAGATCGATAGAATGTTCAAAAAGGGAAAGAGTACATATCATAAGGCTCATACTCACCTCAACCAAAACGCCTTCTTGGAACAGAGTCCCATGACACAAACGAGAGCTCGTTTTGTTTCATTCCGCAATCCAACCCCGTAGGTATATGCTCTCCTGTGGGGTAGAGGGCTTAGACAAGCAGGCAGGTGGGTAGGTAAGCAAGGAGGTAATGATCAAATTTCCGTGATCGCAATCCACGATGTGATTGATACCTTACAATCACAAATCGTGGCGGTGTTCTTATAAACCACAAGTTCGGTACAGGTTCCGAGATTTTTTCCCTCAAATATGATAACTACCCACCCACCAACCCACACCCCCACACTCCCTCGCTCGACAATGACGGGCTCGCGTAGTTTCTGTACCTAGATTACCGAAGCCCATAACCCGATCTCTCACACCTGCATTACCCCCCTCTTCTCCTCCTCTTCTCCTCTTCTCCTCCTCTTCCCCACTTTAGCTCTGCATCAACGTTGATCATTCCATACCAGGTGTGTACTCCGTCCACGGCAACTTTCGGGAAACATGAGTGAGGAGGCATGATTCTAATCATCTGAGTACTAGCTGGTATTCACAGATATCTTATGGAACCTGCACCCGCTCTTCGGATGCGACTCCGACTGCACTGCAAGCCTCTAGAGGAAGGAAAAGAAGGAAATGGCAAGAAAACACCCATCGTGGAAATTGCGAATTGCGGAATAAGGAATAAGGAAGAAAAAGAAAAAAGTGCGGATTTCGGGGCGTTGAGCGATACACGGAGATGGAGATGAGGCCGCAATTCGCTTCTGCCTTTTCGCAAACGAGGCAATTGGCTTCATGCTAGAATCTGGAAATTCTCAGTGCACATGTATATGGCTTCTCAGTTGGGCTGCTTGTTTACTGCTTTCATCGAGGTTTGAAGAGGAAAACGTTTAGTTTCGTATGTGGAGGCGCAATACGGTGCAGGTAGAGTAGGTAGGTGTCTTTGTTCTGTTTCGTCTCATTCCTGGCCATGGGAACACAGGTTGATCTTGGAAGAAAGGCATGAGTGTGATCAGTTCACCAGGCCTTCTGCTGCCTTGAAATCGCATTCCATTGTCAAAACTCAACTAACTCTTGGCATGCAAACCTTACTCCCCTTCACCTTACATCACTCACTGCCTCCTCTGACCTCACTCCAACTTTCTTCCTTCCTTCTACCTTGTTTCCTTCTTTGCTCTTAACCTTTCTCGCCATCCCCCCATTCCTCGTTCGTACCTTCTGCCATCCTCTTCATCTTCAAAGTTCTCCACCTCGCAACTTCCCACGACCTACAAAGGTTCAACTAAGCACATAACCCCTGTCGCACTAATGCAATGCAACGGAGCTCCCTCCGTAGCTAACCACACTTTCGGGTCTCATATAGTGTGCCAAGGTATTTTACACCACCTCACTTCAGGCCTTTCGGTGAAGTTAGGAGTTTGCGTCTTCAGGAGGTCTTGACACCGAAAACGAATAAAACACCTAACCCTAATGAACCCTAACCCTATAATGTGGTACCTTAATTACAAGACACGTGTGTGGGAGAGCGGTCTGGATAGGCTAGAGTGGAAATAGAACGAATAGGCCAATGATGCTCCGTTCTGGAAGGCTGAGAAAGGGTTCTGGAAAGAGAGAAAAGTAGTCGAGCGCGCGGGCCAAAAGGGTGACCCCGGGCTAGGGCGGTAGTTGAGATCAGGGAGATCCGGTATATACTGAGAGTCTGAGAGACATACTTGAGGGGTATCAAAATTATGCCTAGTCTGCGCTTGACGAATGATACTGGAACGATCGATTGGATTTTTATTGGGTAGGGTAGACTGATGCGGAAATCCTCAAGGTGCAGTTTGAGTCGTGATTTTAGCATCCAGGTTTTGAATTAAGTAGAGTATCATTGTATCAAGTCGCCAAAAGCCTTGGACCATACGGGTAGCGTCTATGCACGGGTACCAGTTCCTGGTTGGGATTTGTTGGCCCTGATAGATTCACAACCTCGAGGATCCCTTAAACCGATCATGACGATCTATACCTAAGATCCGTTGTGGAAAACTATGTAACCTACTAATAAAATGTAGGTACATGTAGTATCTGTTGTGAACCAACTTTACTCTATGTGTTGATCTATTCTCAAACTCAACAACTCATTGCTACGTATGTATGACTGACAGGCAGTGACAACTCATTTCATCAAAGGATTCCAGAATTGTGGCTCATGATCAACAGCGCCCGCGCCCTGGGTCTGACGCCGGTGAAGAGTCTTATGCCACGAATTGTCTTGGCAATATGGGCTATTTTGGACTGATGTAGGTACATGAGTACTCTAACTGCTTTACTCATGAACGCGACAATGCGATCCGAAATTAAGGTTTTATAATTATGTGCACGAGGTTTCATTAGGATTCAGGCACTGCATATATGCACCTGATGTATTTTTATAAGAGGCTCTACACAAGGTATGTATTCAAAGTAAGCAAGCCTTAATGGTGCGAAACGTATACAATAACGAGCCAATTTCAAGGTTGCACAGAAACCAGTAGGTACATATATATACACGCGAGAACCTGATTGACGTTTGTAATCGCGTATTAGAGGTATTCCTGGGTCAGCGAGGCTTCGCACCGGAAAGTCCACTACCAACGCCGCAGTCGAGCAGATACGGCCGGTACTTCGTAATATACGGATTCGATTACGAGTGCTACATGACTAGCCGAATGTTCACACTAGAAGCCCTGCCAAGGGAGAGATCGGTGAGGTCGTATAATCTTCAGACATCTCTGCTTATATGTAGGGGCCAATGGCCGCAGCTCGATGTCAAAACCTCAGAAACTGGTCTGCCTCGAACTCACAAGAGTGGAAGTGGGTGGGAGGGGAGAGCTATATAGCTTCTACTCTAGGCACGATGGTAGGACGAGTCGATATGAGTAGCCAATAGCGGATATTGCCGGATGCATGTTCTTACAGCTGACATGACTGGCTCATCGAGCCTTGTGAAGAAGAAAAAGGGACGCACTCACGAGTCACGATCTCGTGTTGTTAGGATGAAGAAAAAGAAACATTTATAAGCTTATTTTGCTAGAAGCACAACTAGATGTGGTCGCCTAAGTTATTGCTCGTAACGTCCTCATGCACCTGAGTGGCGCTCGTCGGGGTTCCCATGGTAGTGGGTGGCTTAGAGTGAGGCTCTGTTGCTTTCGCTCATCAGGGTACAGCTAGATTTTGGTACCTACATGTATTCATGATCGATATCTGGGGTAAAGCTGCGTATGCTTCGGGCTCATATCATGCTCATCTGAAGATGACGCAAGCCGCGGCCAGATCCACAGTGCATGAGATGTCATGTCAAGTTTCATGCTCAGGTCGATGGGCGCGAGGTTTTGGATGTCCGTTGACAGTTAACTTCGTCTCTAATATAATTCCATGGTACATGGTGTCACAAAGCCAAAACAAACAACACCTGGCCAAGGCTTCACCTACTTGGCCATCAACAACGTCAATCTTAATTCTGATTATCAAATTTAACAGCTTTATGCGATATCTGATTCTGGTTTGATACTTGGACTGGCCACGCTACAGGCTGAGTAATACTACCCCAATTTCGTTAACCTTCTTCATTTCAGGTACCAAGAATTTGACTGCCCCCCCATTCCCCATTGTCTACGCCCTTCTACTCTCCAGCTTTGTTCTTGCTCGAGCCAGTTTCGGATCAAAGCCACTGAGGCCCGGTGCGGTGACGGCAATTAACCCCGTCATTGATCTGATCTTCCATGGCTCATCCAGATACTGTAAACGTCCCCGAGCTGAGATATTTGTCACTCATGAAGCAAGTTACGGAACGAAGGCGAAATGAAGGCGAGAACGGACGATAGGGTCTCTTCTGCTGCTGGGTTAGTCACAAGGTCCTGCCCTCATATGTACGTAGGTATAGAATGCTGCTCCCTGATCGATGGCGAAGAACTTTGAGAAATAACTTTTTCGCGGGCTGTGCTTGAAGTACGAATCTCGGGTGACGGGACCCTACCTCGCGGGGGTTCTGGAGAGCCTCCAGCTGTTCAGGGTTCTTAAGGTCGTGTGCTGTGCACATTAATGACCAACCTTAAATGTGAACTTCAGCAGATCTAGAACCGAAGGTCAGGATTTCTAATATCAAGCTTGCTGCGCTCATTGCGAACATCGCGGGATCTTGAGAACATAGCGACTCGCTTGAATCGCCCCTGGCATAGCTCAGCCACAAGTGTGGCTGCTAGCTGCTCCCCCCCGGGACACCTACATGTATGTACTTTACATGGCGCCAAGGAACAGGTGTTAGTCGCTCCACATCAAGAAAAAGGCGCGCGGTACGACCACCGGTATATTGGGCTAGGGGGAAAGGTTTTGTTGTGTCTGCCTGTATCCCTCACTTGCATGCCAAAACTGAAATCATCCCGCTCAACCAATTATTCAAAATTCAACCCTCGATACATACAAGTGTTTCAATAATCAATTCCCTCGATCTTCCCCCTAAGAAAACTGATGTTCCACTGTAAATAAAATTTAAAAGTAAATGTGTTATGTTGTGGTTCCGTGTTCAGAATATTCCACTGGGCGGCCAGGTGGGGGGGCTGTGCAGCCATACGGAGCTCCGTCCGCGACGCAATACCCTCCGCGAATCAAGAAATAAAAGTAATTCTTGTTATCGTCCAGACGCTCCGGAAGGAAAATCCTGCGAACTTGAGATCATTATGGGAAAATCCATCGATCTGTTCTACGTACAATACGTACGGTACTGTAGATGTACTAGCTAACGGTAGTATCGCCGCCGTAGAAGAAAAATCTAGGCGGTGGTTGTAGGGAAGCTACAATTGTATCCGAGGCCTGCTTAGGCTGTGGCGCTTTCGCCAAGGTCCCATGAAACATTGAAGTAATAGGAGAAGTATAAGTAAATGCATGCGCACCGGACTCTTCAACCATTCCTCCAACAACGAGGAACCAGCAAGGGATTATATTAGACTCACTTCAGCATTATTTATCCCGACTTTACATCTATTCAAACCTCACAATTCTGATAGATCAGCTACACATCTATTAGTAACTTTGGTAGTCCAGCGCGTATTTACTTCACGATGCCCGTACCACCGAATCTGCTACCTCCTGCTATCCAGGTTACAACCGTAAGTTATAACACTAGTCCCTACATGTAGTCATTAAAATACTACACAGAAGAGAAAATATAGATCAAGGCTGAAATATAATATAATTAGACTTTTGAAAATAATGATGCTCCCTCTACCATAGAACGTTCCCCAATATCACCAACTTCGCTCAGCCATTTTCGAAGGGATTCAGATGCTATAACACCTACAGCTCTCTCACCATCTGGCTTCGAACGTAATTTCCTGGGTGTGGATACCAACCGGTCTCGTTCCTCCTCAGTCGGAGACGCGTCCATACTTTCCGGAGTAACTGCTCGGCCCGACACGCCCTACAATGGAATTGATTTTACCACAGTCGAGGACGCTCTTAAGCCCGACCCAGGGACCGAGGATGACTTCAAAGTTGACAACAACCCCTTCGCGTTTAGCCCTGGACAGCTTAATAGATTTTTGAACCCAAAGAGTCTTGCAGCTTACAAGGCTGTGGGGGGATTAGGGGTTTGGAAAAGGGGCTAAGAACCGATCTTGAGGCCGGGTTGAGCATCGATGAGGCTCATCTGGACGGACGAGTGACTTTTGAGGAGGCGTCGGCATACAAGAAAAATGATAGCCTTAATTCTGACTCTTCGAGAGGTCAGGGTAGCGGAGGCAGCGGCGCGGCTGAGATTACGAGGATTACAACGGCTGGTGGAACAGTAGCCTCGACATCTTTTATTGACAGAAAAAGAGTTTTTAAGGATAATGTGCTACCGACAAAATATGCAAAGAGTATTTGGATGCTTATGTGGGAACAGTACCAGGATAAGATTCTGTTGTTGTTGACTGGTGCTGCTGTCATTTCATTGGGCCTTGGACTGTATGAGACATTTGGGGTGGAACACGCGCCTGGGTCGCCCCCGGCTGTTGACTGGATAGAAGGCGTTGCTATTGTCGTGGCTATTATTATTGTTGTGTTGGTTGGATCTTTAAACGATTGGCAGAAGGAAAGACAGTTTGTTAAGCTCAACGAAAAGGTCAGCCTTCAGCACTCCTGCACCAAATTTCGGAAATTATACTAACCTACTTTGTTTTTGCTATTTACAGAAGGAAGATCGTGTTGTCAAGGCAATTCGCTCCGGTAAATCCATCCAGCTCTCGGTTCACGAAATTCTCGTTGGCGATATTCTCCACATCGAGCCTGGAGATCTTATTCCTGCAGACGGTATCTTTGTTCACGGCCACAACCTGAAATGTGACGAATCAAGTGCCACCGGTGAATCCGACCAAATGAAGAAGACCCCTGGTGACGAGGTTATGCGCCAAATCGAGGCAGGAACCGCATCGGCCAAACTTGATCCCTTTATCATTTCCGGTTCAAAGGTTCTTGAAGGCATGGGTACTTACTTGGTTACCTCTACTGGTGTCAACTCCAGTTTTGGAAAGATCATGATGGCTCTTCGTACTGAGGCTGAGGCTACGCCTCTCCAGGTCAAACTTGGCAAATTGGCTGATCAGATTGCCTACCTTGGTGGAGGGTGCGTTACACTACGATTCTACCATGACCTGCGAGTGATATCCGTGCTAATAATATTCTTTTAGTGGTGCTGTCCTTTTGTTCTTGGTGCTCTTCATTCGCTTCCTCGCCACCCTCCCCACTAGCAATGTTGGTGCCGCCGAGAAGGGATCGCAGTTTATGGACATCCTCATTGTTGCCATTACTCTTATTGTCGTCGCCGTCCCAGAGGGTCTTCCTTTGGCTGTAACCCTTGCCCTGGCATTTGCAACAACTCGTATGCTAAAGGAAAACAACCTCGTACGTGTCCTACGTGCTTGCGAGACTATGGGAAACGCCACGACGATTTGCTCCGACAAAACCGGTACTCTTACTCAGAACAAGATGACTGTTGTTGCTGGGACGATTGGCAGAGATGCAAGATTCGAATCCGCATCTTCAGACGCTGGTGAGAAGGCACTTCCAACCGCACAAGCAGTTGCCAGGTTTTCACCGGCAATCAAAGACCTCCTGCTCCAGTCTATTGTGGTCAACTCTACTGCTTTCGAGGGCGAAGAGGATGGTGTTCAAGCTTTCATCGGGTCAAAGACGGAAACAGCCATGTTGATGTTCGCACGTGACTACCTTGGTATGGATTCAGTTGCACGTGAAAGATCTTCTGCACACATTGTTCAACTCATTCCTTTCGATTCTGCTCGCAAATGTATGGGTGTCGTCGTCAAGCTTCGCACTGGTAACTATAGGCTCTATGTCAAGGGTGCTTCGGAAATCTTGCTGGGAAAGGCCACCAGATACACAGGAGATGTTTCCAACCAGATCATTGAGGAAATCGAGTTGACAGGAGCCGATACTGAGTCACTTAACGCTACAATCAACTACTACGCTGAGCGCTCTCTTAGGACCATTGGAATGCTGTACAAAGACTACAACCAATGGCCGCCCATCGGTGCTAAGGTGATGGAAGATGACTCGAACATGGCTGATTTCGACAACATCTTCAACGATATGACCTTCCTTGGACTTGTTGGTATCATGGACCCACTCCGCCCCGGTGTCTCTGAAGCTGTTGCCGCTTGTCAAAAAGCCGGTGTCATCGTACGCATGGTTACTGGTGACAACGTTGTTACTGCGCGTGCTATCGCTAAGGAATGTGGTATATACAGTGATGGTATAGTTATGGAGGGCCCTGCCTTCCGCCAGCTCAGTGAAACTGAAATGGACGAGATACTTCCACGTTTGCAGGTACTGGCTAGATCATCCCCTGAAGACAAACGTATCCTCGTTCGCCGTCTCAAAGAGCTTGGGGAAACCGTTGCTGTCACTGGGGATGGAACGAACGACGGACCTGCCCTCAAGATGGCCGACGTTGGTTTCAGTATGGGGATTGCCGGTACTGAGGTCGCAAAGGAGGCCTCCTCAATCATTCTCATGGATGACAACTTCTCATCCATTGTCAAGGCTATGATGTGGGGCCGTGCCGTTAACGATGCCGTCCGCAAGTTCTTGCAATTCCAGCTTACTGTCAACATCACAGCCGTCCTTCTTACCTTTGTTTCCGCCGTCTCCAGCTCTGATCGTACCTCTGTCTTGACCGCGGTGCAGCTTTTGTGGGTCAACCTTATCATGGACACGTTTGCTGCGCTTGCTTTGGCTACAGATGCTCCCACACCCGAGATCTTAAATAGGAAGCCTACGCCAAAGAGTGCCAGCCTCATCTCGCTGAACATGTGGAAGATGATCATTGGTCAAGCAATTTTTCAGCTGGTTGTCACATTCATCATGTACTTCGCGGGCGCTAGAATTCTGGGCTACTCCACTGAGACCGAGATCAAGGAGCTCAAGACTATGATTTTCAACACCTTTGTCTGGATGCAGATCTTCAACGAGTTCAAGTATGTCTCCCTTCCTCCTTCCATCTAATGATTTTTTTATACTAACGATTTTTACAGCAATCGTCGTCTTGATAATAAGTTCAATATCTTTGAGGGGATGTTCAGGAACTACTTCTTTATGGGTATAAACTGTATTATGATTGGTGGACAGGTTGGCATCATCTTTGTTGGTAACCAGGCCTTCTCCATCAAACCCATCAACGGAACCCAATGGGCAATCTGTATTGTCATTGCTTTCCTATCTCTGCCTGCCGCTGTCCTCATCCGCTGCATCCCTGACCCCTTCGTTGGTGCATGCTGGGACAAGCTCGTCATCTTCTTCGCCCCTGTCATGAGCGGGCTCGAGAGGGTGTGGCGCGCAATTCCTCGACGTGAAAAGAAAGAGAAGAAGCCAACCGATGAGGAGAAGGGCAAGGCAAACGCCTCACCTTGAAAGAACGTGGGACAGTTATCACGATTCCTATGAAGTTTATTGGTTTCGCCTATTATACAGGGGCAAGTACACCGGCGGCCCTTCGCTCCTAACCCTTCGAATTCGAGGAGGGCGCCCTTGCCTCTCTTTTTTCCGATTCCAATTTTACAAGAGAGGTTGTATGAGAGTTTTTTCGACAACAACTTTAATAATGTTTATATTACTGATCTTCGCCACTCTTATTCCTATTCAAGGCAATGTATTTCTAGTATTCGTTGCGCGGGTTTGTTGTATTTCTTTTTTTCATTTTCATTTTTTCCTATTTTATGGTGTCATTTGGCGTACGCGTTTCCGTTAACGTATTCATTCATTCGTTTATATCCGATATATATATATTATATACCTTTTTTATCATTCACTCATTTCGATTGGAGTTATACTTGGGCGGGGTTTTTCTTTTTCTGGGATGCATAGGGTTGGCTGAGGTAGTGTTCAAGGGGCTATGAGGGCTTGTGGAACATTTAGATTCCGTTTATTTCTTTTTTATTTCTCTTTTTTCTTCAATTCTTCTTACAGTGTTTTTTTCTTCGGAGGAAACCAAAAAAAAAAAAGCGTCATGGTTCTTGAGAGTTGGGAGGGGGTATGGTATATATTGTACTGTTATGTTATTATTGAGTTCTTATTTCGTCTCGATCGAGGAGGATTGGAAGGGGTTTTGTCCGCGATGAGCTAATGTCACGAGCTGGGTCGGTTATTTTTTAATAGAAATATATTCTTACATTTTCCACCAATTGGCTCTAGCTACTTATACGCGTGTTTCGGTCCGCCGGCAATGTGATGATTAGTTGGTTATTAATCCTTTGGATTCTCGTAGGGCTGAAGTTGCAAGTATCCCCGGCCCCCTATTTTGACTTCTATTGACATGGATGTTGGTTAATTGCCAAGAGCAGTATTCCTATGTGGTTTTCACCAGACTCGTTGGACTAAAAATAAACTATCGTGGTCAGGATCAGCCAAGCGAGTGATCTGAGTCCTGTCTGGTCTAAATTGACATATATTTTGTTTGCGAGAGCCTTCCATATATACCTGTGACTAAACGTAGGTTATCTCATCCCAGGGCGCTTAAGGAGTCCAGCGTGAAAATGGGCTCGGCCATCGAGTGATATATCATGATTCATGTATTTGTTTTTGAACAGGAACGGTCGCAGTGAATGCAATGAGGTCATGTATATATAAAAAGTCTCTTGAAAGGCTTCAAAGCTCTCGAGCAAAAAGGTACTAGTATGATCTTTGTCCCATTTACCAAAAAGTCAGAGCCAACCCAATCATATTATATTCACGCGCCCAGTGAAAGTTTACAGCCTCAAGCACGATCATCACGGAAGAAAAACTTATTAATTCCGGAGAATGCGAACCAGAAATATCAATACTAAGGGGAAAGTAAGCCTGAATTGAAAATAGAATTAGTGATTGGTCTTACGGTTCGATGTTGCAACATCACTCGACAATTGCAAAGTTATGATATCAAGGCTTACCTGGCTAGCATATGCACTGCCTGTAGTCAAAAAAGGATGTTTCAATGCTTTCATATGCCGATTCGATCGTGGACGGCCATAGTTTACCCAGACGTCGTCGTCGAGATAGAAGGTTTTACTGGGCAGATTACATCACTTCTACCAAGACTGGGAAGGGATAACGGTTAAACGCCTAGTGGAGGTTTTCATTGAGTATTTGCTAGGAGATACAGCTCCATATAGCGCGTATAGTAGGACTCTTGTAGATGTGGAGGAAGAGTCCTATTGGCCGAGTCAATCACTTAAACCCTGTTTCTACTCGCGTGTAAAGCCTCCGGTAGGATTATTGCGGAAATGTGGCGTTGGAGAATCGCTCTGTTCTCGGCGTGACGGCTGGTCCCTGTTTTCCACAATAATTCTACCAGAGGCTGTAGCATAAAGAACCAGAAAATGCAAATGCCTAGTTTGTATGGCAGATCGGCGCGACTCCATACAAATAATCCCTGCTTTGTCACTTGCATTTTCTGGTTCTTATTGCTACACGCGAGTACAATAACTCTACCCAAGCTGTATGTCATTGAATGCTTAACTTTGGTGACCTTGAGCTCGTAGTCTGGTTGGGTTATTCGAACGAGTGGAGGGTCCACAATGTACTAGGGTGTAGCAAAAAGTGATCAGAATCTGATAAGTGAATGTTGTACTACGGGTGCGAGGGTAAGTCTGTAGATAGGTGGCGGTGCATAGGGAGGAGATTCCTTAATATTTGTTTGTGTGTCACCGCCACCTGTCTACAGACTTACCCCGGCACCCGTAGTACAACATTCACTTATCAGATTCTGATCACTTACCCTCAACACCCGGTACTATGTAGGCGTCGGTCTAATAACCACTCTATCTATTGCTATTCGTCATTCAACCAAGTTTGTTAGTGCTCAAAGTGTTTGCACAATAGAACGGATGTATTCATTGATCAACCTAGAATAAAATCTTCGCTTTTGTGAAAATGGGAACAAAAAGATTGGAGTTCGGTACCCAGGATTCCCACATGGTCACCCACTGCAGTACTAACTAGGCGATATGTTGTTTATGGATGGCAGAGCGGACGGGATGCCCAGCTTTCAACATTCTATGACCGAACACGTTAGGATCAATGATCGTAGGCTTTTGTTTATTAATGTGGCCACCCTCATGTCGGCAAGTGTGGAAATTGATGCGACGATACCTACTAATGCAATTATGTAATCTTTACAAAAAGCCTTCTAAAACTACTTGTATGTATTTGGTAAGAAACGGACTACGCGACTGGTTTTCAAGTGATTCGTTTCAAGGATGGGTAGAGCTTTTGGCACGATACTACTAGAAAGTGAAAATGAAGGTTGTTTTGACGAAAGGCATCTGCTACCGTACATACATCATAAGCATAACAAATTTCTGTAGATCACCGTATTTTTTGCCAACCACGCACAAGATGTATAGTTCCCAAGCAGATCAAAGTCGCATGCGATCTATTATAAAAGGTAAATTAGTATCTGACTCAAATAAACTCCAAATTAGTCACACCTCTGAGATGCGCCTGGGATCAATAGAACGGTCAACGGGTAGGCCAATTAAGCCCGATCGGCATGCAATTAATGAATTAAACCAAAAAAAAAGCACGATCGGCGAATTTGTTCGTTCCGAGTGATATTACATGACCCGACTTTTCCACACTGGTCTCCTAAATCTCCATGGATCCAACCAGTGATAAAGTACTAATTCGCATCTAGGGTTGTTGATCAAAACATCTTAAATATATCTGCTAACCACAAGGTGCTCCTTGCAAGTTACAAAGTCATATCGTATACGGCTGGTCCATGAGAACAAGGGCAAAAAAGCATGCTCGACCACATGTAACAGAATCGCGGGGTAAATATTCACGGACATGACCCCAGGCTCACGTAAGTAAGAATATGAAGCCAGTATCATGAACGCCTAAGCTAACCATGTAGGTGTTACACTGGTATCCATTTTCTTCAGAAACAGGGACTGTAGGGTTCCCGAATCGGGCTTTGAAACTATTCTGGTGATAGGAAGTCTAATCGAAGCTAGAGGATGTAGTACAGGTCGATGGAGATATCTCCGTGCTGGTATTGCAATTGGGCAGAACATGTGTCTAAAGGATATCTCATAGTGTTTTATCCGTAGAATTACCGCTTGAAGCGAGATCTGTCTGCGTCGTACGTGGCAAAATAATTTTCCCGAAGCTAATTCGTAATTCACTTGAAATAAGGTGGCCAATCTTCGATCCTACACTTATCAAACTCATAATCTGAGAAGATTTTACAATCGAACGTGGCTCGTGAAAACGCCATCTACCTAGGCCCCACCACTCTCGTTACTTTGACACTCCCGATCACGACAAATGTTTAATCATCGAGGAGATAAGACATATTACTGTCAAATTTTACTAAGAACCCTTACCAGAGACTTCGAGGTTCGTTTTTAACGCATGGTTATTCCCTTGGTATAATCTTCGCTCGACAAAAGCTTCAGGTCAGGGTGTGTGGTCCGCGAAGCGTGAAAAGGAAGTTTTATAGGAACAGGGTATCTCGAGGGAAAGATGTGCTTCTAGCCTCGGAAGACTGATACAGCCTGGGTAGTATTGTTCCCGGATAGAATTCTCAGGCCTCCCAATACGATGACCAAAGTTCAAAGATAAATTATAGTGGGTATCCGAGGGAGGCTGTACGTAAAGGCTGGGGATGAAGAAAATAAACTCTGACTGCTGAATTGTAGGATTTTAACATTAATGCAAGGGCATGGTTCGAGTCCTAGTCAGAGCGGTCCCTAAGTTTGATATATCAGTCTATCACCAAACACCGGGCGTTTTGTACTTTCCGCAGCATGGTCTATATTGTAATTCCTTTCTTGGTGAATATCAGAGATTCCAGAACACTGCAAGTACCTTTGACACTTACATGAATTGGAAACCTCATATTAAAACCCGTTCATTTTCTTAGATATTTTGCTCGAATTTGCTAATCCTCGCATTAAAAATTATTTAGGAGAGGGCTTGCTGGGGTTGTTATTGCGAGAATTATATTAATAAATCTAGTAGACTGGGTTGGTTCCGTAACAAATATTTGACTTGGAGGAGTAACTTGGTTGAACCTAGAGTAGGAGGGAGGTTGGGCAATCTTTGAGAATCGAAGGTTATGGAATTGGTGTAGGAAGGGTTCCGCAGGTAAAGAAATCCGAGATCAATGGATGGGAATTAACTCTCTTTTGTTGGTGTTCTTAAGTCCTATACTTGACTATGGTACGGGGATTTGCTAACGATATATCGATAGGTAAAATATCTTTGATATACTAATGTGAATTTGTCTGAGATTTCTTGGGTAGTAAAGGGGTGTGTTACGTATGCCTTAGCAATGTACGCACCCCCGGACCAACTCACCCTCGGTGAGTGCCAACCAACCTAGAAGACCGGAGAACAGAGGTCCGAACAAGCTGGCCAGGCCGCCGAAA